GTATATGCTACTGATGAGAGGGCTATAGATCTTGAGTCTATTAGTAAAAATATTTCTCCCGTCCTGCCATACCTGTCAAGTCACTCAAAGAAATGTTTGTCAGATAAGGAGCCAGTGTTTCTTTCTGCTGTGTCCAACCACTGTCTCTGTACCACTCACACCTGGGTAAGGTAATATTAAAAGGAAAATGACACCAAATCTCAGCAAAAATCTCAGAATCTTAAAAAAAATCTCAGCAAAATCTCTCTCAAAAGTCTCAGAAATGAGTTTGTTTTAGTAATTGTTTGAGATGAAGATCGTATCCAGCTGGGAGTATTCAGCCTGTTCCCTTCAAGAACTGTATTTATGACAATGGGTGTAATCTGTCCCCCTGGGAGTACTGGGGGAGTCCTAAGTAGGATTCTGAGGGTCCTCATTTGAAGGGTAGGTTATAGACTTCATCTAATCCTAGAAATATTTCCTCATTAATGAGTATCACTTCTAGTTTATCCAGATCAGACATAAGCCTACTGGCTTCCTTCCTGGTTACTGGCAGAAGTTGAAGGAAGAGCAAGAAACATTATATCTGGGGCAGATGAAAAGGCACGTTAGATCATCCTGCCTCAGCAGATTCACCTCACTGCTTTATGTAGGCAGATTACAAAAAATGACAATGGGAATGAACCCTATGTATTTTGGAGCTGAAAAACATCTGGGATGAAAAAAGAGTGATCACGTAACATCCTGTAGATTTGTCTGAAACATTAGGTCAGAAGTATGGTAAAGAGAATTCTGTTCACCTTGCCAGGAATGGCAAAGGGGTCAAGAGCATCTCTTGCTGAATGGCAAGATGTCTGCCAAGACAGTAGATCATCAGACAGGATGTCTGGTGTATGTGTGTTGTTTTTAGGAGATGCCAAGAATTTTTATGTGGTTTCTTTATAATGCAGTTGTTCAGTGTACAAGATGAAAAGGTATTTCTTTTCTATAAGGACATCTTTGCAGAGATGTCATTCTCAGCAAAAAGGCAGAACTGGAGACATTGTAAAATATTACTAGTCAAAATGCTGGTTTGTAAATCACAAAAATGAAGTTAGTTCTGGTTAACATCCATGTCTGTTTTTAACTTTTCACAGCTATGTACCAGTCTAAGAGATAAAAATGTTCTTCAAATACTGGCAAATTGCTGTTTCTCTAATTTCTATGCTAGGAAATATTGTCAAACTTGAAATCAAAGTGTCAGTCCCCACTAAAACTATAGCTGTTTTATTTATACATAGTAAATATTGAATATCTGAAACATAATGAGGAAAAGTGTCAGTGATGTTTAGTAACCATAAAAGAATAAAGTAAAATAAGGGGATTTTTCAGAGCAAAAAGTGCTCTTTACTAGTATTTGTTCTTTTAGACACTGGTGACATGCCCTTTCATTTGTAAACATGGGATCTTTCATGCTTTATTTTGCCTTGGGAATCTCTGCTATGATTAATTTAAGGAAAGTAATTTTGCTGGAATTAATATGATTGACAGCTAGCAAAAAAACCATATATGGACCCTCCCTCTGAGAAGAAAAGTGGTATAAAACAGAGGAAGACAAGAAGAAAGAAAAAACCAAAGCAAAGTAATTTGTAGCCACATATAAAACAACACTTTTAATTTTGATGTTGTGCTGTCTGTTGCTATTTAATTTTCAAAATGTGGGCAATAACTTAATACAGAAAATTACTATCGTGGTTGGTGAGATTTTGCAAATAAATGCCACAATGTAGTAATAAATGTCGCTATTGTAGAGGATACAGAGCCTTGTTATGTTATACTTTCCCCATAGGCAAGATATTAATTATGTAAAACCTCCAGCTCTTTTAATATAGTGTGTGCATCTTCTAATAATACAAGGCCAAGATTATCAAGTGGAGTTCATCAAAAAAATTGGGATGACATGTTTGCCTGTCAACAAATGCATCTCCAGCAAATCAAGATAATTCTTGGAAATACCAGTTTTGATAAGGAATGTGATTTGAGGTAGGCAATAGGCTGGCTGCTAAGGCATTTACCTGGAGTTTTAGAAACTAGGGCCAGGTTCCAGTTTTCCTTGATTTTTAATAATTCATTAAGTCAGTTTGTTTAGATCTTTTCCTTATGCAGACGTTTACATATTCCTTGAGAAAAAGTAAGAAAGACTAATTTGACAAAGTAACAGTCATGGCACTCAACCAGGATGTAAGCAATCGAGCCTCAAATCTATTCATTGAATCAGACAGAGAAGGGATAAGCTGTTCCATCCGTGTTAAGTAGCTCTTAATAATTGTAAAATCCGAGATTTCAGCTGTTGTGCAATATTACATAGCAGTTCATGTTTTGCCTTCCTATAAGGAAAGGTATGGATAAATGACAAAATAATAAAATAAGAATGAAAACTTATTAAGTATTCTGAAATTCCAAACTACTTTTTTTCAAAAACTTTTTTAAATAACATAATAATTCTGGCTTTTCAATATTAGTCTGAGGTAGTTTGTTTTCAAAATGTTTAATTGTTCTTTATAGAAAACAGACTGGTTTTGTTAAAAACACGTTGTGACAAGGAAATACCCATCTCTGATCAGGAACACCTGAGAATGAGGCTTACATTTTAAAACACAATTTTAATTGCACTCATTGCTAGAGGTGGAGGTGGTGATATATCTTTATGCTTCTTGTAGAAATTCCCTTGGAGTCTAATCAACCTCACGATAACCTCTCCTGCCCAACAAAGTCATTCTAGACTAGATTTATTGTGCAACTCTCTATGTCTGGCATTTACACACATGGCCAGTCTTGTGACAATCAGTAGTGCATTGAACTAGTATGCCTTAGAAATGAAGACAAACTTCTTGGGTATGATTTCTGAAGAAGGCTCTGCTTGTCCCTGAGGATTGTTTTTCCTAGCTTGTTCTGTAGTACTCATTTTTTTTATGATTTTACTTTTTTTTGTTTGTTATGTGGGAATTTATTTTCAGGGCTGGATCCTTGCCTGATTAAATAGTAGCGTTTACAATGACTGTAATAGAACTGTACTAAAGTACTTCAACAGTGGATCACCTTTTTCTCCTTTACGTCTATATCCTGATGTACACATAGATTTAGACATAGCGGAAACACGGAACATGGAGGAAAAATGTGGAAGGAAAAGTAGATTTCAGAAACATCAGGCTGCAATTTTGTTTGTATATGTATAACCCCATACATTTACAAATTATGTTGGCAAAGAGAAAGGAAACTCATCTGCTTTAGAAAGTGTCCATCTCCTTTCTCAGGAAGCTGAATGATTTTTCCTTTGCTGATTTTTCCTGTTCCAGAGAGCCATTGGCTATAGTGCAGTGTCTTTCGTCCTGCTCGCAGATCGTTTCACTCTGGAGAAAGTCCCACAGTATTCACATAGGCAAACTGCAACAAATTTTTTACTGTAACCCGCTTTTTATGTTTTCTGTCTAATGATAGAGTGAAGAAAATAAAGAAAAAGCTCAGCCTCAGTGAGCCCAGCCCTTTCATATAGAGTTCTCAAGTCCTTCCAAAGCAGGCAACAGGATATCCCAAAACATTAATTTTGCTCCCCATAGTGAACTTAGTTTCTTCTCCAGATCAGGTTTGCAATGACTTAGTCCCAAGTAAGTACAGAATAATAACATCTCTGTCCCTTTCCCATTTCTCCTCTCCAAACCCTAGGTGACTGCCCTGCCCTAATCCTTCCACTGGGCCAAAATAAAAGCCCTTCTCTGAATGCAAGCAGTAGCACATGACAAATTAGATGCACTGCCAACAAGTATGCTTTTATATATACAGAGAAGAAACATCTGCCTTCTTCATGCCCAGATCCTGACTGTTCTTTCCCCTGAGAGATGTAACCTCTCGTGCACCCTGAGCTTGCAGCCTCTACTTGATGCTGGCACAGAGAGGAGTTTGGCTTAACAGGTTTCCCTTGAAGTACATTTAGTAGGAGCAGTTCTGGCTGTCGAAGAAATATAAACTGGAAGGGGTAACTGAGTGCAGCCAAGGAATTTTGAAACTTCCCCTAAATGGCTGTCCCTCATCTGAGCGAATAGATACCTACACCTTTAGAAACTGGACTTTAAAGAAGCCAAGATTTTCCCTTCTCTTACAAATTTAGTTTTTAAAGTGGCTGCTAAAACAATCTTGAACCCTGCTTTTTTGTTTATCTTTGATATAATAGGTTGGTGGGTAGAATTTTGATTCTGTTCTATACATGGTCTTCTTGTGTATTTCACACTGTGTTTTTGAAATACAGCCTGCTTTCGTCCTAGAACTGAAATACTTTTGTCAGAAACAACAGATATATTATTCACTTGCTTGAATTCTTATTATCTGCAATATCTTTTTTTCCCAGTGACCAGGTATTTGAAATTGGAGTACTGGATATTTTTGGATTTGAAGAATTTCAAAAGAATACTTTTGAACAGGTATGTGGCTATGTTTTGCTGAATTTACTGTAATGGTTAATGTTAATTCTTCTATTAAGGTTTTGGGTTTTAGTGAAAACAAGTGTTTTGATCAGAATATAAACATATATGGGGGAGAAAATTTGCTCTTAAAATATTTTTTTCCTATTCTGCCTATATGGGTGTTAATTAAAATACAGCTTTCTACAGTTATTCATCATTTTAAAAGAATCTAGTAAACATCTACCATAATGATTTGGAAGAGAGGTAGTATCAGCACTGAAAGACAACCTGAGGAAAATACTTAGCGTTGTCTGTTTTCATGGTTGTGAATGTGATACTTCAACTAGGTCAGTGAGTAGGAGGACAATATACTGGATTTGAAGAAAGATCTTCAGAAGGTCTTCAGATGCCTTGGAGAAAAGATAGAATGAAAATGCTTAATTATGCTAAGTGTCATTACTGGCAGATTCACCTCTGTGTGACTTTACATGTGACTTTTTAAAAAATTGAATTACATCCATGGAAAATAAATTAAACTTTATCTCATTGAATGCTTAAAAATCCATTTAAATATCAAACATTTTTTGAAAATTAGGGAACTGTTTGCCCACCTTCAACATTAGTCTTCGAACACCAAAGCTCTTGTGAATTATGTACTTCAGAAAGCATTAGCAACTCTACACAACATGCTGAAAGAGATGTCCAAGTTATTGTTCAGTTGTTCACTCATTCTGTAATGCAGCAGAAGAAAATCAAAGCATACAATAGAAAATCAAAGCATAGAAAAGAATAGGGATGGCTTCAGGAGCAACAAAGGACATGTTATTGTTTGAAATCAGAATTTGCCCCTTCATCCCAGTCAATCCATTCTTTTATGGCTCAACTTTCTCTTTCTAATGAAATAGAAATCATAGAGCCACATTAGTTCAGTTTGTGTAGCATGTTTACGTGGCTACCTAATTTCCAAATGTTTGAAAGCACAAAAAGGGTGAGCTTACCTCTACCTTCAAAAGAGCATGTAAGAATGCAATAAAACATATTCCAGTTCCCCTCTCACAAAACTCTTTTTGCTGTTACAGTTTTACCTTGCTTGAAGGTTTGCTGGATTAAGGACTATTGATGTGTGCTAATATTCACAGTCAGTTACTCAGTGTGAATGTCTACTTTGGAGGAAAATACCAACTGAAAAATAAAAAACATTTTAACAGACTTGAATATATGCCAAAAAAAATCCATAAAACCTACTGATTAATAAGGATAAAGTATTCTACGCATTTTAAATGCATCACAAAAGAGCGGGGTGCATCTTGGGACTTACTGGCTATTTTCCTTTGACTCTGTTCTGCATTGCTTTTTGTCACGAAACTCATATAAGTTCTGCAACTGAAATCATGAAATACCATGAATTCCAGTTTCTGGGGTAAGTCATTTTCTGCTTAGTGACTGCAGAGGATGCTTGAAGAGAAAATATGAGACTTAAAGAAAAATGAGTAAATAGTAATTTATTTTATGATTTCTGCACAGCAAACATCATAATTTTAAAGTCAACGTTGCATTTTTATTTTATTTTTTCTGAATAAATATATTTCAGGAGACACTTACTGTCCCTCCACCTGGACTGAATGCATTTCATTGAGTAATATTGAGTAATACTCTGAGTCATTACCTCAGAAACTACTGAACTGCATTCCTGAAAAGATAGATTAGAGGTGAGGGAATTACAGAGTTCATTTTTATATGGACTTTATAATGTGATTAACACATCTGATTCCTGAAGTGATAGGTTGCAGTATCAATGAAGAGAAGCAGTTTGTATCTCCACATGGCACAATATAATCATGCAGACATACCCAAAACAGCCTGCACTCAAAAGCTCGAGCTGTCTAACAGTCTAGCCTAGTTCAGTATTCTGCCTGGGCTCGTTAACCCTGATGATAAACAGGCTCATTAGCCCAGATAGGGTCCTCATGCAAAACATTGCATCATGTCTGCAAACATGCCCAGTGTCAAGGCCTGTGATTGCAGAACATTAACGTTAAATGTTACAGCCAAACAGTGGAGGAGCCATAAGAATTATTTTTTCATCACATTTAGATTAACATGTACTAAAATAGCATTACAAAAGTAATTTGGGGAAAATGAACCTTTTGTTTCAAATTAGTGTAAGACAAGGCATTCTTTGTGATACCTGTTTTCCTGCTTTCTTAAAAAAAAAGAAAAAAAAATTGCAAGTGTTTTCAAGAAAGATTAAAATGTCCTGATTGCCCAAATCTGGGGACATTCCAAGCACCTGTGTGAATCTTTCTGGTGCTTTAAATCAGGTCAGTTGATAGACAGTTTAATATCATAATTAAGAGAGCAATATGATAGTAAATCACCTGTCAATTTAAGCAATTCATTTTAATAGACTGTGTTTGAAGACTGTTCAGGAAGAAAGAGCTGAATAAACCAGGTAGAATAACTTGTTCACTCTAGTGAGTGTGTTGGAATGACAAGGCATTAGAGTACTGAAATGTCAAAGGCAAACAAAGAATTGGTCTAGGAACAGTTCATGAACAATGCATAGGACAATAGACATCAAAGAACTAGAAAAGTAAGGTTAATTATGTCTACACCAAGAATCTGGTAACTTCTGCAGGCAAGATGATGTGACTGACAGCTTGCAAGCAGAAAAGTTTTATAGATGATTACAAAGAAGTCATTAGAAGTTAAAAACAGTATTAATTAATTAAACAGTTTTCCTTGTACTTGGAGAGCATTGGTAAGCCTTCATTTATAGAACATACATGTGATACATTGTATTTATAATAGCAAAAATAGGACCTGTAATTCTAAAATAACAGTAATTAAGTGTATGGAATAAGCGATAGTGAGTGGAGTTGTGATTTTTGGTGTGAAATTTAAAAGCTGAAAGACAGGGGACAGTGTTTTTAGCAGCCCCAGTCTGAGGGAGTCATTGCTCAATAAAGACTGAAAGCTCTGAATTACGAGGACTCAGTGAGTTACTGCTCATCAGCTGAGCTATGGTAAATGACTACAGTACACTTTTAGCTCACCCCAATTACAATTTACAGTCACTTCCTAGCAGTGATCATTAGCTTGCGAACAGCATTTTCCTAGAGCAGCTGCATACCTGCTGTGCCAGAACAGCTTTGTATACAGCCACACTGGAACATGGTCATAAGTGAGGACAGATTTGTCCATCCCATTCTGTACAGAAATGGCCTTCATTTTGTGATCATCTCAGGAAATATGAGTGCTCTACCAAAAATAGCAATGGCAGTTTTCAATGTTAGTTTTCAATGTTTTCTTAGGTTTCCTTGTTTGAGAGGGGCTATATTTATTTAAAGCTAGGTTGGATCTTGTTCGTGGCTCCTTCACAGCACAACTCCAAATAGCGCAGTCAAGGAATGCTGGTATTTCTTTAAACCTTTATGCTGCTATCTTCTTTATACCTTTACACTAATGTATTCTTTGACCACAAAAGCATGCAACACAAACAGAAAGAACTCACAGCAAATGAACATAACAAGCAATAAGCAGGAGGGAAGGCTGATAAAGTTGCCTGTGTAATTTTCCCCTAATTGTTTCTAAAAAAACTGCATTATAGCAGAACAACCAGACCTTAGAGTAGCCAGAGTAGCTTTTTTTCCCCCTGCAGAAAGTCAGGTCTTTCTACAGAAATGGAGGTCTGTCATTGTGGAAGCATCATAAAGAGTGATAATGCACATAAATAAAATGGACTCTAGTCCAGTAGTCTTTTCTCTCTGATGTCTAATTCAGGTGGTAAACTGAAAAAAAATTTGGTTCTTGCTAAATATCATGTTTAGCTCTTGCATGGTATTTTGTCTCTGTAGACCTCTTCAGTTTTGCAGAAGAAAGTATATATATATATCCTCCTTTTTATGGGAAATATAAGTGGTTTATTGGAATTAGGACTGCAGGTCATGGAAACAGTCAAGTGTCTCTTGCCTCCCATTCAACTCTATACCCATTAAAGTATGTGTGGTATTATCTGTGTGATAAAGTAGAGCACTGGGAGAGGGATGGCTCCCGTGGCAGCTCTGTGCAGCACATCTCTTGCAATAGGAGCTAGCTGGCTCCAAGAGCACAGAGCATTGCCTGCCCCGCTCAGGACTTGACTTCAGAGTCACTATGGTGAAGTAGAAGAGCTTGTACAACCCAGATGTGTTCACAGGAATTTTCACCTATGTTTATTATTGGGTGTGGTAGGTTTTAACTTCTCAGTATATTATTTCTTTAGTTAACCCTACTGAGACTTCATTTAATTTTGTCATATGACCTTTCCTAGCCAAAACAGCCATAACAGAATATTTTTTTATTAAATTGCATTCCCTCAGCTATGAGACCATTTCTAGCTATCCAAATGTAAGCTTACGTTGCCTATTTTGTAGACGGATGAACAGATAAAAGTTACATGACTTAACTTTTCTAACTGTCATTGCAGTCTGAGTGATAGTAGACGGGAAGTCACGCACTCAAGTTTTTGCATTCAGACAGTCTGAAGGAGCATTCCAATATTTTATTTTATGCAAAAGAAATCAGCCTTCTTTGGTTTTGCCTGTCCAGAGCGTAGAAGAATGGTCCTACTTGCCTCTGTATTAACCTGTGGAATAGGCAGCTGCTGGTGCACACTGAGATCTGATACTACGTAGGGACTTGAATGCAAAACCTCCCACCACAGTTCCCAGTGCTGGGGCATTCCTTGTTCCCCATAGGATGAGGGACAGTGCTTTACTATCTTCATTGAGCCTTTAACAAGGAAAAATGATGTGATAGTTTTAAGTCAGAGTTTTGCTAGCCTCCATCCATAGGAAGGTTTTAATATCCTTGTTGTGGAGCAGCGAGAGCCAGCTCATCCTTGGCATCAGGGAGCCGGGCACTAGGAGGACCCCAAGGCCAGCCATGACCTCCCTGATGGACATCAACCTGCAGGGCCTGAGCATGGTGGACAGAGACGGGGCCGGTAATAGCGACCATGAGCAGCCCTGACACGG